GGCAGCCGTTCCCACAGTCAGGCTATCGGGGAAGTGATGAGTGCTAAACAATAGTGGAGGAAGCTGGAGAAAGGCGCTGAGCTGATAGCCTCACAGACGGCGTCAGGGGCAGGTAAGGACCTGGGCCCACTTCCTCCACAGGGGAGCTTGTCTGCTTTGCTCTGGATCAGGCTCTTCTTGGGAACAAAGGGTCTCAGCAGCCAAGGCTCTGAGAGGGGGCAGGCAGAGGCGAGGCTACCATCATAAGAGCTGGTGCCTCCAGGCCTGCTTATGACCAGCTCACTCCCCCCTGTGGCCTCATGTGAGGACCCCCCAGAAGCCACTCAGCAATATCCCGCTGGGCTGGACAATTCCCCTTAATGGGGGCAGCCCTACACATTCCTCTTGCTTGAACTCACTCTTATTAAAAAAAAAAAATTCCACTAAAAAATACCCATTCAGTGCTTAAAACAGTAATAGTAGCAAATGTTTATTAAGCACTTATAAAGTGCCAGGGCTCAAGCCAAATGCTTTACGCGTGTGAGCTAATTTAATCTTCACGGTAGTTTTTGCCACTCCCACTTTACAGATGAGAAAACTGAGTAATAGAGAGTCACTTTCTCTAAGTCACATGATGCGTAAGTAGCTCATAGAATTCAAACCCAGGTCTAGCTTTCCCTTGAACCCATGCTCTTGACCTCTGCTCTATACAGCCACACACTGTGCTCAAGCTGTGAGCAAGGCAGGCGTGGCCCTGTCTTCATGGAGCTCCCACTCTAACAGGAAGGAAGGACAAAAGAGTTGATTGTGGTGAAACATGGTGAGAGAGGAGAATGAAAGGACTCCCAGCAAAGAGCGCTTGACCGCGCTGGCCGATGGCTCACATGTATTCGCGAGACACACGCTAGAATATTTCGTGAACATAAGCCGAGTTTAAAAGCATACTCTGCCTGAATCTTTGCTGTTAGGGAGCTGCCTATCCATGGGTGATTCAAGGCTCAAAATTAGTTGGGGTTGGTGGGTAGGAGCAAGGTGAGGAAGAGATTCATGTCAATTCAATGTGGGGGTTAGGAAACTTTTCTCCTTCAATTCCTTTACTTCATCTTGTCCAATAATTTTGGAATTCCCTCTGGCAAGGAGAATGGGAGGTTCTCTTCTCTCCAAAACATTTCTTTTGACCACTACCTGGGGATTCTAAGTGTGACCAGTGATCCACGGGGCCTTTGAGAGAAAACAGAGGCCTTCCAGAGGAGAACAAGCACAGCGCTCCACCAGTTTCACCCCCGCGGCCCCTTTCCTTCCCAAGCCTCAGTCTGGAAGTGTGCAGGCCAGAGATAGTAGAAAGGGCTAATCTTTGAGTTGGCCTTCTGGAATAGAAATTTAATGACAAAAAAGTACATGATTGTTCATATTTCTGTCTGTCGACACGAGCATCAAACGTTACATTTTCATTCTAAGAACTCTGGTAAATAAAGGATTTGCTCCCTAATCTGTTTCTGCAAAGACAGCAAAAGATAGTGTCAAACATATTCCAACTGCTGGAGCGTCTTCAAGGCAGGAGCACGGATTGGAGCTTTATAGAGAGCTTACGGAGGGATGGGGAACGTCAGAGGTTTCATAGGAAGCTTATGATTGCCGAGTCAACAATTTGGGAGAAATTACAATCAAATTCTGTGCTGCCTGGCGAATCCCCTCTGACCGTTTGATTCATTTCAACCCTCAAGTACTTAGCCCCTCCGACATAATGCAGTGGGAGAAAGAAGCTTTAACGGGGAGTCCAAAAGTCTGGGATCTAAACCCATTTGTTAGCTGCTTGACCTTGAGTAAATTCTTTAAACTCCCTATTCTCCAGTGTCTTTATCTGTCAAATAAAGATTATACTTACCTGACAAGGCCATTTAAAGGATCAACACAATAATTTTAGGGGCCTTACAATAAATGACATCCCCATTCTCTGTCCAAGTTAGGAAAAAATGGGAGCGCTAGGTGCAGGAGCCACGCAGGAGGTCAGTATATGACCTTTGTTACTGTTGAAACCTAGTTCTAATGCTTAGCTTACCGTGTACAGCAATAGTGGGCTTTTCTTCAGGGTCACACCAGCAATTTCAGATACAGCTGTGCCACCGTCAAATGGTGAGCACGGAGGAGCAGGTTAAATGCTAGCTTCCCGCCTGCCCACAGGCAGCTCCCCAGGAACAAAGGGGGGAGGGGAGGGCAAGGGCGGAGCTACTCATACCCATATGACTGGTGGGTCATTGAAACTTTTGCCTTCAGGGGCCCCTTCTGCATAAAAATCAGTAAAAATTACTTATGCATTGGCATAAAGATAAATATACTAATATGGTATTTTAAAACATTTTCTTTGACCTAACTTAAATGTTTCTTTTTCTATTTAAAACATTTTTAAAACATTTTTGTGGCCCCTAAAAGTATTAGGGACCCTAGCCACTGTGCCAAATAGATAAGTTGGCTTTGCATGTCCAGTTCTTGTTCCCAAATTTCCCCAAATCCCCTCCTCCTTTCTTGGGGAGTATTGAGTGAGGCCCAATGGAGGGACTAGGTGTTGCTCCAGAAGAAGAAATGAATTCAGGAGCCAGGGTGGTCCCTAGACCCCCAGGTAAAATGCGAAAAAGAAACGTGTGACGTAGCCAAGGTGAATCAGACATTCTCACTGCTCCCAAGAACTAAACAGAACACAAGGCAGAGGGAAATAAATGCAAAGTTGGGGAATGAGTCATATGCTGAGGAATTTCTAGAAACAATTCCTCCAGGTAGTGATTGAGCTTGGCCTTGAAGTACAAAAGATGTTTCCTAGACAAGAAAGGCTGGGGTGGGAGGAGAGGTCATTCCAGACGGTGAGACTGGCTAAGGATATGGTTTCACACACGGGATGTTCTGGGAATGGAATTCAGAAGCAGTCACTCACCTTATTCTTCTGGCTCAGAGGACTCTCCGTTTGATGTATTGTTGTTTTATGACAATGGGTAGAAGGCAGGAAAGTTATCATTTATTCAGTATCTACTACGTTTCCAGTGCTTTATAGGTATCACCTCATTTCATCTTCACCCCAGTGGTTTGAGGTGGATCTTACTGTCCCCACTTTTTCAGACGAGAAGGTTGACACCTGAAAGTATAAATGACTTACCGAAGGCCAGAGAGCCTAGTTGGCATCTTCAGAAGATACAACCCAGGACACTTGATGGCCAGACCAGGGCTCTGTTCCTGGCTTCCTTGGAGATTTCAAAGGGGTTTCCTAAGGGGCCTACAAAGGGGAGTTCTTACAATTGTATTGTAGATAGAATGTTGTCTTGGGGCTTCATTTCGGGCATTCCACTAGCCACTCTCGGACTCCGTGACATTTGTCCTCTCTTCGCCCTATCTCTGCTGCCCCCCCCCCCCCCCCCCCCCCCCCCCGCCATGCCTGCTTTCATCTGTTGATGGTGCTGCTTTTCAGGACCCAGAACTCTGCTCTTCTAGGGTCTCTGCTTATGATTCCCAGAGGGATTGGTTCTAGGCATCCAACCATGGATGCTCCTGCCTGCCTGTCCAAGACCATGCTGGGCTTTAGGAGCTAACATTTCGTGGTCAGGTAGCTAATATTTAGTAAGTACCTGCTCTGCGCCAGGCACTGGGCTTGACATGTTCTCACATATCTTTTTATTCTTTCAACATTCCTCTGACATGGGCATTATTAACATTTTACAGATAAGGACCCTGGAACTCAAAGAGATCATGTAACTTGTCCAGGTGACATGAATTTAATCCCGAAAGGCTCCAAACTCTCATCTTTAGCCAGGATGGGGTCCAGCCTCTTATAATACTTAGAGCTTTATATCAAATCTTTTCGGTATTTGTGAGAAATCGGCCTCTCTGTTTTTCTCCAATTAATTTCAGTTTCTCAAAGTTGTTCATTATCTTTCAAGTCATCCTTTATAGGCATGGCTCTTAGTCTCTCAGAATTTTGTCATTTGGCTGTTATATCTGCGTTTCATTCAGTCCTTTGGTTATAGATATACAACAATATAATTGTTATGTATCTGTTTTTTAATTGTCTTTTTGCTTCTTGCTTTCTTTCATCTTCTCCTTGTAATGACCAGAAGATAAGGATGGAAATTTGAATGTGGAATTCTTGGGCAGGAAGATTCTATTTTTTTCCAATATATTTTATTGATTTTTTTACAGAGAGGAAGGAAGAGGGATAGAGAGCTAGAAACATCGATGAGAGAAACATCGATCGGCTGCCTCCTGCACACCTCCTACTGGGGATGTGCCCGCAACCAAGGTACATGCCCTTGACCGGAATCGAGCCTGAGACCTTTCAGTCCGAAGGCTGATGCTCTATCCACTGAGCCAAATCGGTTAGGGCGGGCAGGAAGATTCTTTTCCCTCTAGCAGGACCAAGCCATGAGGAAGCATCTGTGGGTTTTGTCTCTTAGCTTTCATTCCCCTCCGTCATCAACACCAAAATTCTGCTTGGGAGGCCCTCCCTTTCCTGTTACTATTAGAGGGAGTGTAGTGATGGTGGGGCCACATTATCTCAGCTTGAATCCCAGCTCCGCCACTAGACCATCTGTGCAAACTTGGATTGGTAACTCAAGCTCCTTGTGCCTCAGTTTCTTAATTATAGTAGTACCTACCTCATAGGCCTATTGTAAGAAGAAAAAATGTGTAAATATAGTGCTTAGAACAATGCCTGGTAGAAAATAAACATACCATACATATTAGCAATTTTTATCATCAATCTTTCTCAAGGCTAGGATGAGGGAATGTTCTTTTCCTGACATTCAAATCTTGAGCAGCATGGGAAAAAAGGCAAAATTCCATTCGAGCTGATTTATTTAGATAATTGTGCCTGAAGAAATGGTTAGTTACTTCCTGCTCCTGGGATCTCAGGACAGTCCTTGTTCTGGTCCTTCTTGAATCTGGATCTTCAGAAATTTCTTTTATTCTGGACCCACACTCAAACTTTCAACTGATTTTCCTCCTCTTCATTTTCCTCCTCCTCTTTCTTCTCCTTCTACTTTCTCTCCACCTTCCCATCCTCCTCTGACCTAAAATAATAAGCATTGATTTCTGATACTTCCTGCCAAGGAACGTTCACTGAACATCCCTTGACCATGGCCCCTTAGCCTTGGCTTAAATACTTCTATAGGACAATTGTCTCTCTCATTTTTAAAACATTGGTAAACTGTGGAAGTACTTCCTTATATCAGGCAGAAAGCCTGTATAGGACTCTGGAGCCAGCATGTTTAGGTTTGGAGCGTGGCTCAGTGGTTTAGTTGCTGTGTGGTTTGGACAAGTTGTTTAGCCTCTGTACTCTGGTTTCTTCATCTGCAAAATAGAGGGTAACAGTAGTAGCCAGTTTATGGTATTGTTGTCAAGACTCAGTGTCACGATGCTGTGAAGCACTTAGATGCCGGATAAGAAGTTCATGTCAGCCTTCTTCCTCCCCCTCCTTCCCATCAGCCTAAGCTCCTCTCTGTGGTCTACACTGAACAAACTGGGAAGATCCAAACCTCAGTCTTCAACTTGCCGGCCTCATTACCTCATCAAAATTAAGACACAAGCAAGGTTTTGTGTTAAAATTTGTCCACTTCCATACATAATTTTAATTATGCAAGATGAATAAGTCCTAGAGATCTACAGTAAAGCATAGTACATACAGTATTTACAATACTGTATTGTGAACTGAATTTGTTAGGAGGGTATAATTTATATTAAATGTTCATATCAGAGAGAGAGAGAGAGAGAAAGAAAACTTTTAGAGGTGATGGTTAAATCTATGGCATTGTTTATGGTGATTTCATAGATGTATACTTACTTTCAAACTCATCAAGATGTAGACATTAAATATGTACAGCTTTTTTATATGCCAATTCTACCTCAATAATAATAAAAAATAATTATCCCAAAAACATATATACATAACCCATAGACACAGACCATAGAGTAGTGATGGGTAGAGAAAAGGGAGGGTCAGGTGGGTGGAGGTGGGCAAAGTTGGGGGAAATAGGGACATCTGTAATAGTGTCAACAATGAAAATAAAGAACAAAATAAAAATTAAAAAAAAAATAGAATGTTGGGGGAAAATGACCCACTTCCCTCCATCCCAGGGAGGGTCTGTGCCAACAGCTTCTGGAGTCCAGAGCCTTTGAGCACGGCCTGGGCCTGAGGGTGAACACGGGTCAGAAGGAAGATGGCCCAGAAGGTGCATGAGCACAACAGCATGTGAATGGCCTTCGACCTCTCTGGCTCGTTCCACCCAGGCTTGTGACAAAGCTGACCAGGCACTTCCCACACTTTGCCTGCTCTGCCCTGGGGTCACGGGCACGGCCCTGTGCTAAGCTGTTTCTGGCTATTGACACACCACTGACACGCCTGAATAATGACCACTAATGGGAAGAGCTTTCCCCGTGGCACGGAGGGCAGGAATCTGATGGATAGAAACATCGGTTGCATGGCACTTTGCATTTGTGACACATTAGTTCATTATGATATAGTGATGGATTGTCAGAGGCGGAACAGCCATTTTTCAAAAGGCATACATACCCGTGTTACAATGAGGACAGTTTAGCTTAGAGAGAGGTTAAGGGACTTGCTCGAGTCACACAGCCACCAAGTGACAGAGCTTGTGTTCCAGTTGAGTTTACAGTTCTTTGTGATACGCTGGTTCTGAGGCTTTGTGGCTGCTGGTGGGTGATTCCTGTGATTGCATCACTTTGCCCTTGAGACCACTGGACCTTCAGTAGCCTCTTTCTCAGTGGTCAGCAAAGACATTAAGAAGTAGGTGGGTAAGGTAGGAGGGAGGTTGGGCGGGGGGAGGAGTTGAATATAAAAAGTGAAGGGATTCGCTCTAACTGGTTTGGCTCAGTGGATAGAGCATCAGCCTGCGGACTCAAGGGTCCCAGGTTTGATTCCAGTCAAGGGCATGTACCTTGGTTGCGGGCACATCCCCAGTAGGGAGTGTGCAGGAGGCAGCTGATCGATGTTTCTCTCTCGTTGATGTTTCTAACTCTCTATCCCTCTCCCTTCCGCTCTGTAAAAAATCAATAAAATATATAAAAATAACAATAAAATAAAAATCATCATTCTCCCCTTTAAAAAAAAGTGAAGGGATTAAGAAGTACAAATTAAGAAGGTAGTTACAAATAGTCACGGGGATGTAAAGTACATAGGGAATACAGTCACTAATATTGTGGTAACTATGCATGTGTACTAGACTTATCCTGATGATCATTTGGTAAGTTATATAAATGTCTAATCATTATGTTGTACACCAGAAACTAATATAATATTGTATGTCAGCTGTAATTGAAAAATAAAATTTAAAAAAGAAGCAGGTGGTCTGAGAGCCCTTGGACTTACAGCCTTTCTACTTAGAAGTAGGGGAACGTTTGGATGCAGGACACAGCTTGTAACTGGAAAGACTCATTATATTTGCTGAGGCTGCAAGGGTGCCCTGGAGAGAACGAGGACAGACTGGTGAGTTGGATGGAAGTGGTGTCATGGGGAGAGTCACGTTCCATTGTCTATTCATCCTCACAGTTGTGACGTGCAAGGGAGCCTTCTCACTGAGAGGCTTAGTCTTAGAGATCTTTCCAGAGATTTTAAGAAAAACAAGTTCTTTGCTGGTCTCTGGTTGGACTCTCTTGGGTTCAGGGCTCCCAGAGTGAATAAAGAGCCCAGGGTTCTATGGTGGAATGCTGCTGGGGCCCTTCCAGCTCTGCTTTTAAGCAACGGTGCATCCTTTACTTCCCAGCCCTGGACTGGCAGTCGGACCGAAGTTACCCAACCCCGACCTCTCCCTGTAATTGCTGGGGCTGCTAAAAGCAGGGAGCAGGTGCCAACGCAGAAGAGATTGTCTGTTGAGCGTGATCCAGGATAAGGCACCAAGAAATCACCCCGTAGATCCCCGAAAACTGGAGGACAGTCCTGACTCATCCCTTTCCTCAGCTCCCGCAGAACAAATTAATGTGGGTTGTAAAGCTCTTAACAATCTGGCTCCAAACTCTGGCTTCTTTGCAAGCCAAACTCTCACATACCTTTTGGTCCGGCTGTGCAGAATTATTCTCTGCTCTTTCCCACTTCATGGCTTTGCTCATGCTGTCCTATGCTGTCTGGGATATACTCCCCCTGTTCTCTGTCTGGAGAACTATTCACTCTTCAAGACCTACCACATGGCATCTCCTCTGTGGAGCTTCCCTGGCATGTTCATTGCTTGCTCCTTTCTCATTCTGCTCTTGCTCTACTGTAGCACTTCTCACATTGTCATACAATTTGTTTTGTGGTGCAGAGACAGTGAAACCAAACTGCCTGGATGCAAACGGCAGCTCTACCACTAACCAGTGTGTGACCTTGACAAGGTCTCTGTTCTTGCTTTCCTCCCATGTGAAATGGGGACACTAATACCTATGCCACAAAAAGTATTATGAAGATTAAATAAGCTATTGTGTATTGAGGGTGTAGGCCACAGTCTGGAACTATAAGTGTTAGTCATGATCATCTGTTTGAAGTCATCTGTTATAATTCTCTACTATTCAGGTCTATCTATACTTCAACCATCATGATTAGGCCCCTTGCAGACATGGAAGTCTCTCTCTGCACCCTTCCCCACATACATGGTTCCTGTTTTCCATTCTGTGTTCCTCTGAGGTCAGAACTCCAACTCAATTCCCTTTATAATCCTTGCCTCTCCTTCTGGCATCATTGCCCCACCCCCATGGTCCAGATACACCTGTTGGAAATCACCATGTCCTAGTAGGCTTTGCCCTCTAAACCAAGATATCATTTTTCTCCCAACTAGTTGTCCATGCCTGTGGGACTTGCAGTTGGCAACACCACTCAATTGGCTCTCAGAGGGGTCTGGGAGCACCTGACACATTATGACACCTCTAGATTTTATTTCTTTTAATGATTGAGTCACTGGAATATCTACTTCCCAGCACAGACCAAACTCTGTGGTTTTTTAAAAATGGATGGATGGATGATGGAACAGTGCATAAATAAATGGATCAGTTACAAGTGGGCCATCCATCTGCTTTAACACACCCTATACATTCCCACAGTTTAGTGGTCAATGTGGTTGACTGCAGCTAGGTTTCCTGTTACTGACAGCAGAAAGCATCCTCATTGAAACACACCTCCAAGCATTGGCTCATTTCTATTCTCCTTCTCGGGCATACCCTTGAGTTTTCCATGCAGTGCCACCATCCACAATTAAAAATGCCTAAGAACATATTTTGTGTTCTCCAAAGTGCTGATGCAGAAAGGAGGGGAGCAGCTATAAGGGCACAATAGTTGGGCTCCCAAAACACACTTCAGCTCCTTCCAAGCATGGCTGCGTATGGACAGAACCAAGTACCTTGGGTCACAGAGACATCAAATTTTAGAGCTGGAAGGAACAGCCAGTAATTTAGCCCAACCCCTTCCTTTTACCACGATGGAAACTGAGGCCCAAAGAGCATTAGTGACATCTATGTCTTGACTCTGTGTGTGTCCGTTAGGCCTGAGCTCAGGTATCCTGAATCTCTGAGCAGCACATTTCTCTCTGACCTCACTGTCCCATCAACACGTGTCTTTAATGCATGTCCTCGCCGTCACAGGCAGAGCGGGTACCTCAGTCCCAGGGACACGTGGGAGCTCACGGAAACCGGGGCAGGACTGGAGGCAGGAGGCTGGAGCAGGGTTGGCAAGAGCTTTTCCAAAGTTTGGCTTAGCTGTTCAGGATTTAAACTTCTACCCCTATTTATCTATAGAAATGGTCTCCCACGGTTTTTGAAAGGCTTTGCAGGCTCTGTCAAGGTCACTCTTATCTCCCCCAGTGTTTCCCCACTCACCCCGCACACTTCCTTTAGTGTGTGTGTGTGTGTGTGTGGTGGGAAGGGGTTAGTTGAACGAGAGAGGCTGGCAGTTTTTGTTTTGTTTTGAATTGTTTTGTTCAGAAATTCTGCTTTTTCCCATGAGCTGTTTGCAAGGCTTTGAAATGAGGGCTCAGAATCCATTGGAGGAACTAATGTGAGGCAGAGAGAAGATTGGCACCAAATTACCATGTCTTAGAGATTAAAAAGGCATTGCTTACCTTCAACGTGGTGATAGTTATATTAATAGAGAAATGAAATGTCCAATA